GGGGGGGGAGCTGCCGTCGGGAGTTCAAACAACAACATAATGAGTGAGACAGTAACCAAAAACTGACAACTTTAAGAAAGCAAGGTCTTTTATGGTTTGCAAAAGTAACTTAGTCCTTTTAATGAAGCTGGCTATGGCATCAATGCGTTTTGGTTTTATTACTATTTTTAAAAACGATCTATTTTTAGAACAAAACAATATTTTCTGTTACAAATTACGTTACAAGTCAGCATGCTTGGTCATGAGTACTATCGTTATGGTAGGGGGATTTGAGGGTGAGCCTCTACTGCGTCATAGGCATTAGGTTCATACGCTGGTCAGAGAAAGCCCTGTAATTTCAACTAAAAACTGATGGGAGATCGTCATCGATTTCCTCACAGCACTTCTGGTGTTTTTTTCTGACATGAATATCTCTTACTTCTATATAAATACCGATTTCCGTTTCGCTTGCTGAAGTTCCCATTTATCACGCGAGTAAGTGGTTTCCCTCGTATGACACTGCATGATGGATGTGTGTGGGAGAGGGGGCCGGGGGTTCCTCTTACAATACATGATGTTTATTTTTTTCTTGTAGACTTTCAGATATTTTATCAGTTCCACTGTTTGACTCCATTTAACGTGTTTTACAGTTTCACAGATTTAAAGGATCATCTTCAAATATGGCCAGATGAATATAAAAAAATGAATATTTCAATATGAACAAAAAGTTTTTGACTTGAAATTGGAAAATCGGGGAAATGTATAAATAGGATAATTAACCGTGTCCGTTGATTTTGGGGTATTGATTCCGTTTGCTGGATAACCAAATTTACTCGATAGTGTAGCGGACGTTGAACCACTCGCACAAACAAACATATGTCCGTTGACAAATCACTCATTATCTGTACATTCTGACATTTCATATCAAACAACTGGTTATATTGGTTTATCAAAAATATGAACATACTACTATGCTAAATAGAACATTTTAAATTCTATTTCCGTAGAGGTGATGCTCATAAAATAATATCATTGCTGATTGATGCATTACCGATTTCTACCATTGTCTCCTTTAATTTCGCCCCTCCAGTGCAAATGTTCTTCCACCAATTACTAATTTTCTATCTCAAGAATGCAGCTAATTGAACTCTCTGACTTATGAGCTTCAATCGCCACGACCAACACTAGTTGTCAAAGGACAGTCAGATGCTATGAAACTGTCGAGCTTGACCTATATGTCCTATTATGAATGCCATCGCTAAACCAATCGGATTCGATTGTCAATCTGTTGCAGTTTGTACGACAGCTTGTCCGAGTCTGATGTTTTGGCAGCGTTGTAAGACCGTTATTGACGAGTTATTAAGACCCGACACTCTGAATGGTCAGCTAATACCACGAAATCGAACATTCACACGCAAATTACAGCTCATTCATAGCTAACAAAAACAATGCCTGGTGCTTTCAACTTAGTGAAGGCGAAGTATTCTTCAATAAAATGTAAACCAAACAAAATGCTTTATGAGACTTTGTCATATTTGTTGTTATCTGCATTTTTACAGACATTTGCAACTAGTCTACAATTTCACTGATATTTATGCAGCAAAAAAAAAAAAAAAAAAAAAAAAAAAAAAGAGAAAAGTGTGTGAACAACAATCATTCTCAATCACTCAGGAAATGTAAAAAAAAACTAACGCAAATTAGGAACAATGGAAAGACTAACACTGAGAGATTTGACAAAAGGACAAGGGGGACAATACCAGGTGTTTCCGAAAATAAAGGTTTTGCTGCATCGCCCGAAGCCGCTTTGTAAATCGAGGTCAAATCAAAGTAATGCAACGTTCTCATAGCGAGAACCGGGGTAGTGACACCAAAACAACAAGGCACAGTAACGAACATTATTTAATTCCACGATCTCAAAATGAACAAATAACTTACTTCTCTTTGAGATCAGGGGCGAAAATAAAACGTGTCTATAAATATACGGTATCTTATCTTTGTTTTGATGATTAGGCAATACCTATCACTGTAGATTGAAGTAGGTGTTACATTAAAAGATATATCAAGTAAGATTGATTATGTATACATGTATACATCGTCCGGCGTTTGTATAGAAGTTCACTCATGCCGGAATATTATCTAATTGTGTCGGCCTTTAAATTGAGGAGATACAGTGTAACACTGCAAATGCTGGATACGATTTGGTATTGTGTCGGCGTTACACCAGAATGTATGTAGTCAACAAGTTCCGTATAAGCTGAAGTTAATCTCGGTGGGCTTAAATTTATGATTCAGCACAAATAAAAAAAAACTTTGTTAACGTTTAACCGAATGAGCGTTAAATCTTTTTGACTGTACCAACATTGACCGAGCTTTTTGGCATACCAGTTAAATTCGAAACAGTTTAGTCATTGCTTGAAAAGGGAACAAAATGAATTCGAAAAAAGTAACATGCATAAAACAGTGTCTGTCTTGACATAATTTTTATTTGATATCATTATCAAACTTGTAAATCGTAATTAGGCAAATGGCACAATGAGATACACTGGATTAAAATCAGAAATCCGTTCGTCGAGAAAAATGCACTTGTTTGTCAAATCAAAATGCAGATGGCGAGGGGACGTTTAGCCTTCTAGCTATTGCTATATACAAGTGTGTGCTATATATAGATAAAAGTAAGCTTACATATTTTTTGGTGTCTTTTGGGACTGCCTTACCTTTTATATCTCGTTAAACTAAAAGGATCGTTTGGTAAAGTTCATGCAGATGTCCTTCCTTACCCAATACTTTTATCTATAACTCATACCCGAGCCTCGTTTTAATAATTCGGTAAAATTTCATTTCTATGATGCCATTGACATATATTTAAGCAGGCAATCAACTTAGCTTTCATTCAACAAGATGCCATCTATAACAAACCGACAGATGTCAGAGAACGACTAAGGTTGTGACATCTACACGTGTGTGTTTTCTACACTCGAAAGACTGGCTGGCATACAGATAAAAGATGGCACATTATAAGCTTAGCGTCTCACAGCGTCTCACTACAAATTCTAAGTGAAGAGTGGAGCCATGTCGATATCTCTGTAGTGTTAAAGGAAAAATCAGTATTAAATGCTGCCATCAGCCTTCAGGTTCAAGAAAATGAATATTTCCATCAAATCAAGTTGACGGCATTACTTTAAGTATACTTCAAATTGTATACTGTGTCCGCCATTTCTGCTCTTACATATATGTCTCGTCCATGTTGCGTCTCTTGACATCAATAATCTAATCATATTAGTATCTTTGAACAAGACTTTCGCACGCTCCGTAAGACTTCCAAGAAAACACGGAGAAACGAAGGTGGGATAATCTGCATATATATATTTCAGCGACGTTTTTCACTATTATCAAATCAGCGAAATTTTGCTATGTCAGACTCTTAAAAGAGTCACAAAAGCATATTAGGCTAGAAATTATCTTCGACAAATGATTTTATCCTGTAAGATATTAGGGTATCTTTAACTGAATTAGCAAAAATGAGACCTATATCGTTTACAAAACCTTCAAGGTTAATAAACTATAATATCTGTTTTAGATTTATCGTCATTGTCCTGCCAATGAAATCTCGGACGTGGTGTACAGCGGGAAATACCAAGAAAATCCTTTTCCTCGTCTGGTCTGTTGCCATCTGTCTAGCGTCGCCAACTCTCTACGTTATGGTAAGTATACAAAAACTACAGTAAGTTGTTGGTACCAATTACGTTTTAATGCATTCGAAAACAAAAGTCAGATAATTTTGTACTTCCTTTTTCAGGAGTGACATAAAACAGAAGTGTTATGTACAGATTTGACACTATTTGAAACAGTAGATTTAATAAATATATTTATAAAAGAAAAGGTTACTGAACCGTTAAATATCTTGTTCAATGTACATATATACATATTATTACGTTATTCATCTGTACTGCTTTTGTTGTTAGTTCCGCATGATTCAAAATATTATTTCTGTAGATTTCTGTAGTTTCTGCTTCTGTATTAAGTACTCTTGAATAAGACTAAAAGTTGGATTGCTCCTCTAAATCTGGAAAAATAAGCGTGCATTCCCTGTCAGATGGCCCTTAGCTCCGTTGTAGAGGTTGCAAAGTACAATTGATAATTTATTTTCATTTTCAAATCAATGAAATTTAAAAAAAATCTGTCAAATTAATCACAGGTTCTCTAAAAAATAAATTAATTTTGAGTGAAATCAATACAACTATCGAAGGAATAATGGTATATCGTTAATCCGGAGTATCTAGATCATACGGAATATATCTATTATCCGGAATACCTCAATAAAACGGAATTTATCGATAATCCGGGATATATCGTTACTCCGGAGTATCTCGATAATACGAAATATGTCGTTTATTCAGAATCCCGCTACATGTATCCAGAAAACAATTTTCTTATTTTGCATCCTCAAATATTTTTCCACTTTATATATATTTGCACCAATATGCATGGTTTATAACATTGTATTGAATGATATGCAAACTAATGTCTCTTTCCTATGATAACAGCCCATTTGTTATTTAAAGGGCAACTATTTAAGAAATCCCACTGATGTGAAACTAAAAATTACATTCCGTAAAGCTTGCAGATGAACCGCTTTTGTATTTCACAGGCAGGAGTCTAATTCAATAAATTTAATTCCTCGTGTTTTTATAATGATGTAAACCTTTACAATTTGTCACCATAACTTCCTTGAATATGTCTATAATCTATAAGTACGAATCAAAGCAGTACGCAGCAAATGTTTCTAATGAGCGATTAATGATGGACAACAAACAACGGACACATGCGAGAAGATTGTAAAAGCTCGTGGCGCTGATGGTTGTTTTGAATTATCACATCAGTTCCCTAGCGAGAAGATTGGTGTAGGCGTTATGCCAAGTCTAGTTAGTGTCTACGTCTTCCTTTTATACTAACAAGTGGGTCCGTCGAAAACAAACAAAATAACACAGAAGGCGTTTTCGCAACAACAAACACCGGAAGCAATTACTAGAATTATAACCAAAACAGGATGTGTCCAAGTGATTACAGTCAATAACGATTAAATCATATACTTACGATTTATCATGTCCACCTGTTTATAAGACATTACATTTTTTTGACCGATTTTTATTTGTAGTTGATCATGTTAACAAGCATTGTGTGCTTTATTACAAGTCTGCAGGCAAATCTTCAAAATCAAATAAGAGAATGATAATCCAGCTAGGGTCGCGCTTTTAACAAATGATCGGGCTAACAAATCAGAGGAAAAGTTAGAACAAGTATTGGGGAAAATCACCTTCAAGCACCTTTACTGGTCGAACAGCCTTCTGTCAATCTTATCTCTTATCACCACCCACCCACTTTATCTGTCTCCCTATACCCTATCAGGAAGCTTGTAGGCTTGACCAGTTTGAATCACAACTAGAATAGTAAGTAACTTTACTTTGCAAATTACTGATACTGAAGATTGCGTGTCTCGACTACAGTAGGTGTTGTTCTCCTCTGGGACGACAGCCGAGTGAACAAATCGACTCTGTGATGTACAGATGTCTAAATAGGGAACTCGACGCATTACCTTGGACTCGAGTAGTAGAAACTTAACCACACCACAGGTCCTCGACAGGGAAATCAATCTCTTTTACACAGACGGTCGTCTTAATGTCGCACTCTTGTATTATGCGCAGACGGGGCATTTCTGTTCCGCTGTGGTTACTCTCGGGACAGCAGTCAACTTGACCAATCTATCTAATCTCTTATTTTATTATTGTGTTTAAAACACGTCACCGCATTGTGCCAAATTAGAAATCTGTGAAAAAGGAATAGTTTTATATCATTCTTATAGATGGTCATAAGATATATGTAAAAACACTAATTTGATTATATTTAAGGATTGTTAGTTTTGGTTTCACATATTCTTTACATACAAATATAAACCAACAGAGGGAAGGTAAATCAGTTCTGATATCAGTAACGTGAAACGGTTTGGATTCATCAAAACATCGACTTTTATCTATGTCCGACGTTTATGTTAGTCCGACTCGTGTCTTAATCAGACCCTTGGGTGTTCACTTTGTTTTGTTTTTCCAGGTTTTATTTACTTTTAAATCTAAGGAAAGCAACAATATGAACTTCTCAAATATTTAATGAATTGAAATCGCTGTAACAATGTAACAGACAAATGACACACGGAATCACTGTAACAGTGTAACAGACAAATGCCACATGAACTCACTGTAACAGTGTACCAGACAAATGACACATGAAGTCACTGTAACAGTGTACCAGACAAATAACACACGAAGTCACTGTAACAGTGTACAAGACAAATGACACATGAAGTCACTGTAACAGTGTACCAGACAAATAACACACGAAGTCACTGTAACAGTGTACAAGACAAATGACACACGAAGTCACTGTAACAGTGTACCAGACAAATGACACATGAAGTCACTGTAACGGTGGACAAGACAAATGACACATGAAATCACTGTAACAGTGTACCAGACAAAGGAG